CCAAGAGCCTAGCTCAGTGGGTACACCCATGAACCTGTCTCTTATACACATCTAGATGTGTATAAGAGACAGCCCTTCCTGCTTGGAACTGCTACATACAGAAAGGACGGCGCGACAGTTGCCACGAGGATGGGACGGAGATCTGCGGGCAGCACACACAGTGAGTGCACCGTGGATTCTCCATTGCTAAAAATAACCAACCAAATCCCTTGGAGAATCATCATCCATCCACCACGTGACAAGAAGTAGCCTGGCAGGGAGACCATGTGGCAGCGTAGCAGAGAGACATGACATTGATCAGCTGCACACAAAAGAACAAGGACACGCTCACCCTAGGATTATCTTCGATGAATGTGGCCACTGCCAACACACTAAGGCCCGACCACAATGTACATTTCGTATACGCTCAGACGGTGCTACGCGCAGCAGCTAAATTCCTTCACTAGGGGGACAACATTCTTCCAGTCCCAGCAGTTCAGGTCCCAGGAAGTACCTCAGACACGGTACTAGACCGTTGGAAAGAAGGGCGTGTAAAGGGAGATTAAGGAATCAGAACCGTGACTAAACTCAAAACTCCGCCAGCAACACATGAGATAAGACCATAATGACGTGAGACAGGACAGCAGGACAACACTAAAAATTTGAGAATGTAAAAAAAATAATGTGGAGGCTCATATGAATCTCCACATCTTGGACCACCACGACAAGAGCCCGAACCTCGCCCGAACCTCGCAAACATTTGCATCAATCAGGATCGGCGTACACATATTACATCCTCATATTCGATGGTCCCTACCTACTCATCGACAAATTCACCAACCTACTACATCAAGAGGAGAGCAAACAGGAAACTCTCTCTCTCTCTCTCTCTCTCTCTCTCTCTCTCTCTCTCTCTCTCTCTCTCTCTCTCCCACACGCACACACACGTGAGAGCGAAATGTTTTTACATACAAAGGAGGTGGATCTTTCTAAAGAATGGGACAGGCAGACAGGCAGGCAATGTTATTGTCATCCGAGTTCCCCATCATTATCAGGGTCCAACATTGAGATTAAATCGGGGCGCCGCCGGGATGCTGATTGAAGAAGCAAACGCTAGTAAAAATCCACTGCTCCTGAGCCAAGAAATTCTCGAGCAAGAATCACAAAGACGAAGAAAGAAGGGACGCCAGCAAATGAGTGCTTGGACAGCCAAACCCCCCAAGTTACACCGTATCACAGCAAGCGTTTCTTAGCCAATTTGTACTTCCCACGACCAGGCACAACACGGGTGAAAAACGACCAGTACCTCGCCCACAGGCCCCTCACCGCTACTTTCAGCGGCCAGCAGAAACGCGACAACGGCCGCCAATGAAATTTATCAACTGCGGCCCCGTCCCCGAAAATTGCAGGTCGTTAACAATCCGGATCTCTGCTCTGAAAAATAGCTGGGAAAGGTACTGGTGGTTTAAATCGTCTGGTAAAAAGTTTGTTGTGACTCACTTCAATGACACCATGGCTGCTGTTTGAAAGAACGGGAACGGGTGAATGGCGCGGGGGGGGATCCTCGGCAGGGCGTCCTCCCCTGCAGAGGGGGAGGAAAGAGACAACCGGGGGGGCAAAAATCAATCGTTCAATCAAAATCAAGTAATCAATGAACCAATCAACCAATCAATCAATCAATCAACTGATGACAATGGAAAATGTATCACAGGATTCTCAAGTGATTTCGAGCTCTATAGAATGGCCCACGGTGTGTGTAGACACAATCTGTTCTCTCCTACCTACCGCAGAGAATGTGTCTGTGCATCATAAACAATTCGCGAGACTTGTGGACTATGAAAGGCGAAGAGGAGCGGGGGGGGGAGAGGAGGGAAGCGTCTCCTGCAGGGGGTCAAATCAAAATCAAGAAAGGACCCTAAACCTGGAAAAAGTCTTCTGAACCCCACCCCCCTTTGCCTTTCAAGAATGAGACAACTTGGCCAACAGGGGGGGGGGGGGAGGGGAGAGAATATAATTTTTTGAAACAACGATCTCAATTGACATCGCTTTTCAGGAAGAAAACGCAAGTAGACTGGCAAAAATGAGCTCAGACGTCATAAGGAGGATGGGACTGCCCCATCTGACCCTATTACCCTAGGACAATGGGACTACCGTCTTCAACCGAATAGAACACCCGGTCATTATCGCTGCATCTGGACTGAAAATTGCCCCAAATACAGGGATAATGACCAGCCGTTCTAGTCGGGTGAAGACGGTAGCCTCCCCTCGCATGCTTCCCTCCTGAGTCCTGACCCCCCTCGAAATGTGCACGTCTCCGAACTTTGAGACGGGAGAAGAATCAGGTTAACTCCTCTGCTCCCTTAAGTCTGCTCCCTTAAGTCTGATCCCTTAGGGCTTGTCCTTAAAGGGGAGGAGGGGGGAACAAAGGAAGGGAAGGCAGGAACTCAACTCCAGGAAAGAGTACAAGGACACCTATCAGAGGGCTTCCCTTATGCCGACCGAACTTCCTTGACGAAAATTTCCCCTTTTCTTCATCAAGGAGGTTTTTTCAGTCGCTTTATTCTTTTGTTTCTTTTTTCCCTTTTTTTTGGGCTCCTCCGTAAGAGCGTTCCGTCCTCTTGGCCGCCGTGGTAGAGCAGGACGCTTCCAGAAGGGACTTCCTCAAGGAAGCATGCACCGAAAAAAGAAAAAAAAAGCTAAGGAGACAGGAGGACGGAAATCCCCCCAGGGCCCAGGGAAGGAAGGAAAGAAAGAAATCCAGGAATACAAGTTAGTTCCAAGAGGAACAGCGGAAAGGAATTGTGATATCGACAGATAGCTTCGAGCGGGACCATCCCCCCGCGATCCTTGTACCGCATGGTCCATGATCAAGAATCAAGGATCACACCCCATCGCATGATGAGAGAGCGAATGGAGTGTCCCTAAAAAGGGGAATGGGGGGAGGGGTGGGTGGGTGTGGACTGAGATCGCAACTACTAAACCCCATGAGACTGGTTGGCGTTGAACCGACGACCGACCAGCCGATGATGACGACGATGACGACGACGACACGCCATGACATAACACGCCAGACGGTTATGGCAGGCCCCACGCCGCACAATTATGAAGGAGTGCGTGGCAACTGGGTGGCTGCTGAGTACCTTGCCTCCCCGTCAGCCGCAGATGGGGAAGGCTTGCGCCGATCTATCTATCTATCTATTGCGCCAGGCTCGGCCAAGGCTTCGCCCCCCTGTGTGACGATGAAGGTGACGGTGACGGTGACGGTGACGGTGACGGTGACGGTGACGGTGACTGTGACTCAGAGTAGGAATGTAGCCATCGGATCCATATCTGTTGATCTACGACCGGGACCAGATCAAGCAGTTTCTTAGACAACAACACTGCTTAACAAAAAAAACTTAAAAAAGAGATAATTAACTGATCAACTAGCCACCTAATTGACTGACTGACTGACTAGCTAGCAAACGAGTTACCGGCAAAGCCTTCGGAATCAATCAATCAATCGAATCGAATCGATGTCGATGTCGACGTCAATGTGATGCCCCTCTTCTGCGGCGCTCTGCAACTGAGTTATGTCCAAAAAAAAGGACACACTGAGCCCCGCCCTGTGCATTTTATTTCGGGAAGGCAAATTGCTGCAGCCACCCCTCGCTGCAGTTTGGAGACAAAGGGACCCGACCATTCATTTGCGATGGAGCAAATCATCAGCCAACGTGGAAGAATGGGCGAGGTGGGTGATGAACGATGGGCGAATGCACAGAACTCCCTCCCCACCGTGGCACCCAGCCACCGCACCAATCATTCATTTCATTCGCCGTGGAGGATTTTGCTTGACTCAACCTGCCGACATGTACATACTGTCACTTGTCCACGTTTACGGTACCGATACATTCGATGACGATTGTACGACAGCGACTGGCCACAGACAGCAGAAGGACGACGGCGGAGGAACCGAGATGCTGTCATCTTTGTCATGTGGTGTCCTCGATTTGTCGTGCAGACACTGCAGAGTAGAAAACGACCGCTTCTTGAAGATGGACTCGCATGTTTTCCGTGAACCGTCCATCTCCTGCTCCTTCTCTGTGGCGATAAGCGGATCCGTTAGCGTCGACTTGGCGGCCCGCAGCAACATCGTAAAGTAATCATCGCACGTGTTGCTGCCATCCTGCCCATCAACCGATGGCCAGAAATTGATTCGACAAAAACCGGATATGGCTCGATGGATGGTAGGTATTCTTCAGAGGCCAGCAGGAGGAGGAGGAGGAGGATGCACGCATGCATCACAACATCCCAAATGTGGGAACGGTCCATTATAATTATTGGCAGGCTATAAGACTTTCTTCAAGAAAGACACATCTTCGATGACAATCAATCAGCCTTCGACGATTACCGAGCAAACTATAAATACCCCCAGCGCAGCGGGTGATCCTCCCATCACATACTCCACAATCCTCATTTTTTTTTCTGATGAGATGCGGATGCCGACTGGCACGGACCGGACAGGACAGGACGCGCGACACAAATCGTTCCAACTCGCTTCCTCGACCAGTTCTTCTTCTTCCCCTGCAGTCACAACAACGAGACAGAGAGAGACAGAGAGAGACAGAGAGAGACAGAGAAGGATGAGACAAAGAACAGATGAGAGAGCGAGAGACAGAGAAGGACGAGACAAAGAACAGGCGACGCAGATTCACTTAGAAACTATCGATGAAATTTCCCTCTGTTTCAATAAAAATCCTTCACTACAACGAGCCAAACAAATCACCACCAGGATTGCATTTCTTCTTCCTCTTCTTCCTCGTCTTCTTCTTCTTCTTCTTCTTCTTCTTCTTCACTTGTGAACACTTCTTCTTCTTCTTCTTCACTTGTGAACACTTCTTCTTCTTCTTCTTCTTCACTTAAAAACACTTCTTCTTCTTCTTCACTTCTGAACACTTCTTCTTCTTCTTCTTCTTAGCTGCTGCTCCTATGTTTGCTGTTGCTGAAGCTTTTTTTCCAACTTCCCAGTCTTTTTCTTCTTTTCCCTGAAACCAGAAAGAATGCATCATCACCTCCAGAACCCCTCAGGTTCAGAACCCTTTTTTTTTTTCTTTTTTTTTTTTGAGGCAGGTTGGGGTTACGTGCACCAGCGGTGAATTGGCACATTAGGTTGTGTGGAATCAAGGGTGTGCACATTAAGGCACCAGATATATATATAGAGGACTTCAACGCGAACACTCTAAGAGTCTAAGGCACATTAAAAAGAAATCAACGAGAACCATTTTTAAAATTTTTTTTACCATTTTCATTTGGAAAAAAAGCAAAAAAGGAAGAAAGAACAGACTGAGAGATCCTGACGAAAGACAGCAAAGACCGAAGGTCGCTATCCACTGATCTGTACATGGTGGTGAAACCTGGGGACCTTGGGACCTCCGGACCTCGGCCCCTGTTCCCACAGGCCAAGCAGATTGGGCACAACTCACTGGAGTCGGCGAGGTTGCTCGAGGTCGGTCAAGTTCGCAAAGGAGGACAGCAAATGGGATGGATAGTACAGACGAGCGGTAGCCACCGCCTTTTTCTGTAGGTACTGTGCCTGTGCGCCAAGTGAGAAGTGGGATCAGTTCCCATGGCCTAGCGCACTAGAGAGTTACACAATGGTACCGCAGGGGGTCTTAGGTCCCCTCTGGGCCCCCTCGGGGTCCCCTCTGGCGTAAATGCATATGGAGGACCCAGGCGGTGCACATATTCGTCCACCGCGTTAACATATTCGCAGCCAAACTCCGCACATGTTCGCAGCCAAACTCCGCAAATGCATATGGACCTGCGCTGGGCCTACGAACGTGGAGGTACTGGTGGTTTAAGAAACCCTTTGAAGGAGTTTGGCTGCGATAAAAGAAAGGCAGGCACATCAAGGAAACCTAAGAGACCCCGGTGCGTGAGTGTGCACTTCCGTGTCTTTTTCCTACTCTTCTCTCTCCTGCTCCAACTATCCAGACCACATTCGCACCAGGACTTTTCAGAATGGATTTGGTTGTAGTTATGGTAAGATTCATCCTCGCAAGTTACTGCTGTGACCATACATGCCCTTTTTAATGTCCTTCGGCAAACAAAATAACAAGGCTGTGTTTATCTGAATGAATGAATTCGTATTTCTGTGAGCAAATGAATGTGACCTCCATTTCTGGAAAGTTGCCTGCCGTGTCCGAACGTGGCCTTGATCCTCTACTGCTTCTGCACTATTTCCCTCGGGGCCTCACTCCACCAGTCGCAAAATGGGAAAAAGACAACTGGCGAGTGCCTCTTTCCCACCTTGAAGTAGAAAATAGACTCGCTAGTTGTCGTACTCGCATTTGGTCCATAATGCAGCAACAAGGCTCTTCTTCCTGTTCCTGCTACATAATGCATCAAGGCTTTGATCCTGCGCAGACTTCTTTGCCGTCGTCATCGTGTCCATGCAGAGAATCATGACTCTCTGCCACTCAGGGGGCTAAGACTGAATACATGTGAACTGTGTCATTATCCCAAACGGATAACTGAAAAAAGAGAGAGGATAACTAAGTGGAGAGCGAGAGAGAGAGAGAGAGAGAGAGAGAGAGAGAGA